ACTTTCAGCCATTATCTCTTTACACTGATATGTGATTTCAGCCTCTATCGCGTCACCATGCAACATTATCATTTTTATGTTTATCGTGTAATGTTGGCAGTCACCTTTTATTTCCTTTTCCTGTAACATGTTTTCAGTCTGGATCGCTTCCTTTCAAACTTTCAATCTATTAATTTATTTTGTTGATTTCCACCTCTATCGCATCTCGCAAAAATGTTGATTTCATCTCCCGACATTTCACCTTGTAATGATGTTTTCAGCCTCTATTACTTCAGCCGGAAATGTGTTTTCATACATCATCATTTCACATTGTAATTATGTTTTCAGCCTTTATTACTTCACATTGAAATGTGTTTTTATCCACTGTCATTTCACCTTGTAATGTCTTTTTTCGCCTCTATCTCTTCACTGTATAATGTACTTTTATCTACCGTCATTTCAACTTTTAATATTGTTTTCAGCCACAGTCACTGAATCCCAGAAAGTTATGCTTTTATCCACAATCATTTCAGCCTTCGTTTGGAAGAAGGTCCTGTCACATTTTTGGTATGGTTACTGCGAAGATAATTTTTCTATAATTACAGTAAAATAACTATAAATTTTGACTTTCTAATGTTTTTTTTCTTTTCCTTTGTAATTATTCAATTTACAACGTTCTAATGAGTTTAGAGCAAGTCATTACCAGACACTCTAAGCTGTAAGAATTCACAAAGGCATCTGCTGCAACGTATGATATAATATTATATATGATGATAGGCTTGCATGCCGAAACTAGTCAAGGAATTTAATTGAAATAATAAAACAAAAAAATATTAATATACAACCCAGTGCGTCTGAAAATTTTAATTTTTAATTTCTCAATATTTTTATTGTTCAATATATATATATATTTGAAATATATTTTAATCCTTCATGAGCTTCTGATGCTTAACTATGATTAATTAATGATGAACATGTCATTTTCGTTTATCATCGATTTTATCACGATATATATATATATATATATATATATATATATATATATATATATATATATATATTTAATGTGAAGTAATAAAGGCTGAATATATATATTCAATGTGAAGTACTAAAGACTGAAAACAATTATAATGTGAAATGATGGTGGATGAAAACACATTTCCGAGTATATACATATAATTATTATTATTCCAGGATCATTTTACAACCTATTCAAGATGATCTTCACCCACTCTAACCTTGTAACTTTCTGTCCTGGAGCAACAAGTTGTCTCAGAAGTCTCACGTACGATTTCATTTTCAATTCTTTTTTCATTTTTTGGGGGACTGTCATAGACGAAACTTCTCTCTCACGTGCCAAACGTCTTATGGATTCAGTTTGATCTTTTCTAATTGATCACTTTATTTGAAATGTTGATCCCTCTTCCTGTTGTAACGTCCTGATTCAGTTTTCCTTCCTACTATTACCGCTTTTTAAAACTTATTCACCGTTTTCTTAATGGTTCTTGATGGAAGCCGCAGTATGAATGTTGGTAGCATTACTGAACACCTGAATGAAAATTTTCCTCTGAACATTGTTCAGTTGAAAAGAAGGTGGGGATGATGCAAAACGATTTTAATCTGTTCTCTTTTTAGCTGAATAACTCAAAGGGTCTTTTTGTGATTCTTACGACAAATGGTGTCAATATAGCTAAAGGTCTTATCTGAAAACCTGGTAAAAAGTAACTCAATTTGTTTAGTGGTATATATATATATATATATATATATATATGTGTGTGTGTATGTATAAGTGTTCGTCGGCTTATTTGAGCCCAGCAGCAATATACTACACTAGGACACAAAATGAGGAAAGCTCTTTTTTATCATTTCACCCCAAACAATTCAATAAAACCATTTCGACGTTCATGGCTACACAACGCGGAATAATAAGAGAAAAGATAGCATTACCCAGTGAAGAGAGAACAAGAAACAACACAAAAACAAAAGATAACAATTGATATTGTATTTAAAATTTTGAAGATCAAATATGACTGTAAAACAAGAAGCCCGAAGAGAGTTCCCCGAGTGAGAAGTGCAAGAGAAAAAAAAGAAAAACTATTATCATGAACTTAAGGTCGCCAATCTAGTAATGCGCTTAACTTCTCAAAGTCTACGTACCAAAGAGGTAAGAACATCAGAACAATTATCCTGAAAATATTTATAGAAAAGACACAAGGAAGCTACGTTACAGCGATGGGAAAGTGAAACCAAGATGCCAGGTCAGAACCCCCAAAATTGCAAGTTCTTCTTTAGATTCTATCAAGAATCTCTAAATACATAACGGAAGCAGTAAACCAGATGTGACAGCAATGTTCAATGCATGGAGGAATGGTAGACTTATAAATATGTAAGATAGATTCTAGCGAGAAAAATTATCTCGCACAAGACAGTGAACCACGTTTCCAGCAACAGATATAGCAATTGATTTGATATAATCTTTTCACTTCACGACAGCGGAAAACGTTAACCCGGAGGTTAGCATCAGCCATGTTGATGGAAGGCAAAATTGTTCTCGCAGACGATTAAAAGTAAGCTATTTCTTTTTGGAGGCGTTAAAATTAACAAGCCATTTCTTGCTCCAATTAACAACGGATTGTAAGTCACTTTTGAGATCAGCTGCTAGATTGAAATATAGAAATGATCAGACTTACCAATAAGCCAGGAGTAAATAGTTGTCATCAGCCTAGATAGCGAGTTGAGATCTGATGACATCAGGGAGGTCGTTTTTGGAAATTTGGAACAATATTGCGATTTGATAAGCAAGATTGAAATCAAAAATTCGTCCAGAAATACCATATCCAATTCAACATGACAAAACCCTGTCAAATGCCTTCGAGATATCCAACAACATCCGGGCTTCATCATTCTAATCTAAAGCATAATAGACTTTTTTACAAGTAACCGTTAATACATCTTAAAAAAAGGCTTGAAACAGGTAAGATGGGAAGGGTTATACAGTAATAACCTCCACCCTTGTGCAAATTAATTGAAACAACCACTTTTGTTTCCTTTCTTTCACCATAGGGTCAGTGTTAGACCCACTGAAGTGACAGGGTATAATCGATTTCTATTTTTTTCTCAGAAGTGGAGTGCAATAATACGAATCTATTTTCGGAGTGTATGATGAAATTTATTTCACCTTTAAAAAATGCTGCGTCATCCGTGATTGCATCAGATTTTTATCACGCCCAGGCATTATTGTCTCAACTGTCGATTAGTTGTCCTACGACCTTTGTCTGCGATGGACCTTACTCCAAGGAAGAGTACGAAAATTGTAAAGCTACAAGCCTTACCAGTGAGAAAATCAAAGTACTATAGACTGGCACGGAAACTCTCCTGATTTAAATCCAATCGAGAATTTGTGGTCAATCTGCAAGGAACGACTTCGTGGAATGGACATTACGAAGTACTAACATGTGCACTGGGTCATGTTTTATTGGAAAAATACGAAAAAAAAGTAAATAATAACGGAATTATTCTTCTTGTTTCAATTAATTTGCACAAGAGTGTATTTATGTAACTGGAGGACAGATGCAGGATGTGCCTGTGTGTGTGTGTGTGTATGTGTGTGTAACGAATGCACGGCCACAATTTTCAACGGATTTGCACCAAAATGTACATGCAAATGCTCCAAGTTAGTAGAAATGCCAAGACCGACTTTGCCTTTCCTAATTCCCATCGATAGTCGAAATAATCGATTTTTTTCATGTTTGTACGGCAGTTTTCATGTAGTTTGCGGCCATTTTCTACTGGTCAGAGTGAGAGCCAATAGCTGGCTGCCACGAATAGGCAGGAAGATTCTATTGGCTAGCGTGAGAGCCAATAGCTGATTGACATGAATGTTAACTAGCATGCTAGCATGAAAAAAAATCGATAGCTGCATTTGTCACATGTGGGAAAAATTTAAATCTGCATGGTACTTTACTCTAATTGGCTCATTCGTTGATTCTGATTCCGCAGAACTGGGTTGGGTGTGAAAAATTATTTGTGTTAACATTCTTTTTTCATTCGGTTTTTCCATTTACGAGTCCTTTTTTAAAGCTGATCGTTTTGTGTTCATTTTGTTTAGTTCTTTTTAGTAACAGATTTAATATTTAGTATATAGCTTAGAAAAAATTCGCATTGTGAGATAGACAAGAAGTAAGGCATGTAGCAACATCAGCACGGATAAGGGCACTTCTTTAAAGGCAAGGAAGGGCAAAATATTTTAAGTCAAGTGATAGTGATTGCTGTATGAGTCGTACGATTTTTGAATCAAGCATGGGCAACGCCGGGCCATGCTGCTAGTGCATTATAAAGGAGACTAACATTGATTATAGATGTAAAAGAAATGACGTTGTGCGAGACATGATCACGCACAGCCTGATGGTACAGAGTACCCAGAAGAAGAAGTTTCTGGATATCCATTTTCCATACAGTAATTCCTTGTTGCAATAAAAAAAGGATATGGTAAAAAACGCGCCTTTAGAAAAGCCTTGTCAAGAGATCATTCATTTTCCGACAGATTGCTTAAAATTCTTGCTTGCACACTGGACCTCCATTATAAGTCTGATTATAAAATAGATAATTAATTCCAGTGACTATCTGGAAATCACAAATTAAATTGTAATTTTAGTCCAGATTCATTGTCTTTGTTCCAAACAATATCACATTCCCTTCCGTCCCCATCCAACAAAAATTTCCGTAGAAAATATTTCAGATTGATGCAAGCAAAAACATTGATTCATTCACACGTTTCGTTTGCCCACTCACGCATGCGTAGATTGATACAGTGAGAATCCATTCAAATCATTGGCTCTCGCTCAAATTGAGCCTTTCAACTTTTAAATATATTAATTGATGTTTATCGCGGCCAACTGACAGAGTTAAGTACAGTGGAAGGTTTGCCGGCTAATTTTTCTAATTGATTTCAAATACAGAATGAAAGCGCCGGCCATAATGTTATCAGTATAACACATCTCTACGTTACGACAGTCAATGTGATGACGATCAATCCATCTGACATTGATGATACACAAACGCACAACCACAGGCCAGTATTTATTTCCCTTTATGTGTCGATTGTAGGAGGTTTTCGTTTCTTCCGGTTTTTTTTTCTTTCTTTTTCTTTTATTTTCTTTCTTTTACTTTTTCTTGTCTTTTCTTTTTCATTCTTTTTTCATTTTGTTTTCTTCCTTTCATTCTTTTTTCTTAGTTTCTTTTTTTTTTCTTTTTCTATTTTTCTTTTCTGTTTCCCTGTTTTTCCTTCTTATTTGTTTTCATTTCCATATGGTTTTCATTTTTTCTTTCTTCCTTTTATTTTTTTCTCTTTCGTATCCCTGTATTTGCTTCTGTCTTGGCTTCATTTCTGTTTTTTCTTTTCATCTTTCTTTCTTTCGTTCTTTCTTTCTTTCTTTTTCTTTCTTTCTTTCTTTCTTTCTTTCTTTCTTTCTTTCTTTCTTTCGTTTCTCCCTTTTCTTCTTTCTTTTTGATTTCCTTTTTAACTATCTTCTATATTCTGATTCTGGCTTTTTCTTTTTTACTTTTTCTGATTTTTCTTTCTTGCTTTCTGTTTTTGTTTATTTATTTTTTACATCTTTCATGATATCTTCTTTTATTTTGTTAGTTTCTTTCTTTCTTTTATTTTTTCATTATTTATTTTGTTTTTGTTCTTTTTTTCTTTTTTATCTTTCTTATGCTTGTTTGTTTCTTCCATTTATCTCTTTAATATTCATCTTTTTTTTCTCTTCTTTTCCTTTACTTCTTTCTTGCTTTCTTTCTTTGTTTGTTTTCTTTATTTTTTTCCTCATTTTCTTCATTCTTTTTCTTGTATGTTTGTTTCTTTCCTTTCTCTTTTGTTCCTTTCTCTTTATTGTCTTTTTTCTTTGTTTATTTTCATGTTCTTTCTTTCTTTCTTTCTTTCTTTCTTTCTTGTTTCCTTGAATGCTCTTTTTCCTTTTACTTTATCCGTTCTTTTCTTAGACTTTTCTCTATTGTTTTTCTTTTCTTTCTTTTCACTTCTTCCTTTTATACTTGTTTCTTTTCTTTTTTCTTTTTACTCATTTTCTTTCATCCCTTTTGCATTCTTTCTTTCTTTCTTTTTTTCTTTCTTTCTTTACTTATGTTTATTTGTTTTTTTTTCTTTTTGTATTTTACATTATTATTTCTTCTTCCCATTTCCTTTTTCAATTCTTTTTTCTTTTCTTTCTTTCTTCACTTCCATTTTTCCATTCCTTCCGTCACTTTGTTTGTTTGTTTCTTTCTTTCTTTCTTTCTTCACTTCCATTTTTCCATTCCTTCCGTCACTTTGTTTGTTTGTTTGTTTCTTTCTTTCTTTCTTTCTTTCTTTCTTTCTTCCATTTGTCCGTTCCGTTCGTCACTTCCTTTCGCAGGCGTCTTTCTTTCTTTCTTTCTTTCTTTCTTTCTTTCTTTCTCCGTTCCATTCGTCACTTCCTTTTGCAGGCGTCTTTCTTTCTTTCGTTTTTTTCGTTCTTTCTTTCTTTTTTCTTTTTTTTTTCTCCTAGGTGCTTGTTACTTTTTGTTATTTTTTATTTTATCTTGTTCTTTTTATTCTCTTTATCATTCGATTTTCATTTTCCCGGGTTTATATTGAATATTTTCCTTCACTTTTTTTTTTCATAAATCTGCTTCCTTCCCTTTCTTCACAATCGATGCATTTCTCTTTCTCCTTCAATCAAAATAAATCCACTTTTTTTTCATTAATACATCTTTCATTATTTCTTTTATTTTTTTATTGTTTATTTTTTTCATCTTTCACTTTCACAATCATTTGCCAAACCCAGTAAATATCCACCAGAAAAAGATCGGAGAATCGACCGGTCGAAAGCCTTGCGTTTTCAACCAACAAAGAAAGACGAAAGCATTAAATTGTTAAACACTCAATTAATCAATATTTCATTACTATTATTTTCACTTGTCGTGACTCAGCTTTGGCTGTGCACTCGTCCTGTGTCCGAAATGGCAAGGTGGTCGCTGGGGTGGTAGGTACAAGTGTAACGAACCCAATAATAAAACTTAACTCTTCATCTTTCCTCGCCAGATGGCCAAAAGACGGCTGTTCGTGTTATCTCTGTTGGAGGTATGAGTTGTCGGTTGTAGGACTGGGTATATTTTTATTTGTTTTGTTAGTGACCACGCTATTTTGAGCACGTGTCGTGCCGAAAAATGATCAGGTCGGATGGTCAACTACCTGCCAGAGATAATGGTATTGGTTAACGCAGCTGGTTAGGGTTGGTTGATTGTTTTCCCGGGATACGTGGGGAGCCTGCTGGGACGACGATTTCGATGACAAGGCGTGATATTGTACTCGATAGGGACATAATATAAGAAAAGCCTTCAATATCAGTTTTACGTTACTTTTTTATGTGCCAGTATCATCTTTATTACAACAGTGGCAGTACTAATGCTGATACAATATCAACTGCTAGTGAAGCCGGAACTGTGGTAGCTACCCCCCAAGAGTTCCTGATGAAAAGTTCTCAAGAAATAACTAACTAGGTCGTCCGACGAGACGCCCTATCGTATCCACACTTTTCTTCATGGTATTGTTTTCGTATGTAATATGATGAGAATAACATGGACTGTGCATGTAAGCAACGATGAAGTTTTAGAGAAAATGTGGAAAAAAGGACACTTGTACTTAACGGAGATTTCTAGGGTACATAATGAGGAAAGAGGGCTTGGAAATTCTGATACTCACATAAAATAGTGACGGCCAGATATACAGAAGAAATCAGACCATGACCTTGCAAAAGAGCTTGACAGAACAGAGTTTGGAAGAGATAGCAAGGCGTGAGAATTTACTAAGAGCTACCATGAATAGTAAATTCTGATGAGAGTTATGGTCACCAACGTCCTAAAATGATATGGCACATAGAAGAAGAAGTCATAGAGTATTCGGCTTCTCGGTCTTCGGGCCGGGATCAAAGTGTGGTATCTGCCTTCGGGCCAGGAGCAAAGTGTGGTATCTGTCTTCGGGCCGGGATCAAAGTGTGGTGTCTGTCTTCGAGCAGGGGTCAAAAGGTGATATCTGCCAAGGTCGGGATCAAAGTGTGGTATCTGCCTTCGGGCTAGGAGCAAAGTATGGTATCTGTCTTCGGGCCGGGATCAAAGTGTGGTGTCTGTCTTCGAGCAGTGGTCAAAATGTGGTATCTGCCTTTGGGCCGGGATCAAAGTGTGGTATCTGCATTCGGGGCGGGATCATATTGTGATACCGGTTTTTGAGTCGGAATCAAAGTGTGGTATCTGCCTTTGAACCGGTATCAAAGTGTGGTATCTGCATCCGGGGCGTGATCAAAGTGTGTTACCTGTCTTTGGGTCGGGATCAAAATGTGGTATCTGCCTTCGAACTGAGGTCCAAGTGTGGTATCTGCCTTCGAGCCGGGATCAAAATATGATATCTGCCTTCGGGCCGGGATTAAAATATGGTATCTGCCTTCGGGTCGGTATTAAAGTGTGGTATGTGCCTTCGGGTCGGTATTAAAATGTGTTAACTGACTTCGGGCAGAGATCAAAGTGTGGTATCTGTCTTCGGGCCGGAATCAAAGTTTGGTATCTACCTTCGGGCTGAGATCAAAATGTATTCTTTGGATCGAAGTGTTGTTCGGGCGAACTAACTACATTCCATTTCTCAACTGCATTTCTCTCTTCGGACAAGGCACAACAAACAAATGATTGATACCTAATCCCCGTAGATTCCAACTCTGCAGCAGCACCTACCTCATTGTACCAAAGACGGAGAGTCGATGGAATATCGACGTCAGCACGACTTTGGTTGCGGGGACTGGGCAGTTATTTGCCTTGGCCCATGTGCACAACTGGAGGCTACTCACTTTATAGCGGTCTTGTGCCATATCCATCACCGTGGTGAGTGGTCAATACCAAGTGCAGTATCTGTTCTCATTTTAGGTGAGAGAAGACGCCTGGTCCCGTGATTTCCAACCATGCGGCAACATCTTCCTCACTGCTCTAAAAGACGAGGACTCGGTGTAATATCGACGCCAGCATGACAGTGGTCGTGGGGGACTAGGTTTTTTTTAATCTCCTATGTTAGTGAGGGGGTCAGCTAAATCATAGAGGTTTCTGGTGCATATATATGAGGAGAAACAAGGTGTTAGTCCATGGGTTGCCGGAGTTTCAATTTGACTGGGAACACATTGTCCAATATGAAGAATATTTTGCATGACACCAATTTAACTAAATGGCAAAGAAACAGTCTGTTAGATTCTTCCATTAAGAACATTCAACATGACTTCATCGTAATCCTGGCAGGGTTGGCTTACAGGTGCTTTCCTGGCCAAAGGTGAACCCGTGATTCGGTCGTTATAGTTTTGAATTCAGGGTTGTCCACTTATACTGGTTTAAAATCACGAGTAGAGATCTCTGCTATGTTAAATTACACATGGGAGGAGAAGCAATGAGTTTATATGTTTCCGAAGAGTATTTATGCATAAGTGAATGTAACGAAAAGCGACTGGAATTCGAACTTGGCTCGCCGATTTCTCATTCCGAACCGCTAACCATTACTCTACACTGTAAAGGATTAAAAAATGCTGATGTTTGATCATTTGTTGGCGGTCATACGACTGTTTTGCGTGTATATATTTTACGTTCCCACACTTCTTTTGTATATAACGACGCAACGGTTGACATCATTTGAGTCCCGATTCGACACTTGTTGACTATGAGGTTGCCTTCTAGGTTAACATCTATGCTTAACATTTATTCCTTTGACGTTCTGAAGCGAGACGAAATTTAAAACATAGTATGACATCTCTGAGGGTGAGCTCAATATATTGGGGTCACCAGAGATCAACTCATCTTAGATCAAAGTCACCTGATTGGTATTAAATTCTACTCAGACTCCTGATTTTTTCTGTATAAACATGGAAAGCAGAGTTACAAAAATCTGGGGATAGAATGGATTATTTGTTTCAAAATTGTAATTAGGTTACTGATTACATCAAAAGACAACCGATGACGGTCGGAAAGTAGAATAGCCGAAATATTGGGATTATAAAAATCTACAAGAATATACTTCTATGAAGAGCAAAAAACAGGGGCAAAGTATCTGTCATAATCTAACTTTTGATCTGAATATTTCACTGTATAATACGCAATGTATGCCTTTATTATTGTTGAGGCATTATTAGAACCAGAATTAAAGACACAAGAGAGGAACTGAGTTAAACAAATATATTAGCAGAAATAGTAATACAAACATATACAGCAAGAATGTTCGGTTCGATTGTCAAAGCTAACTGCTGGAAACTTTCCTCTCCAAAAGGCAGTACCTGCTCCTATTCATAGCCGAGAGAGTCCATGCGTGCGTGGGTAAATTACCATAACAATTATCCACCACTAGAATAAATGCGTTCTCTATGAAAGAGATGATACGGATAAATAATCAACTGCTGTATAAAATAAGATGTTGTTAATGTTGCAAATTAATTTTTGTGTTACCTAGGAAGTG